GCTTGCTTGGCTAGGCCTGACCGATGGGCCGATCGACCGCTTCCTGGCCTCCCCTGCCCTGCCTCTTTAACGTAGTAGAATAAGATGAAAAGAAAAAAGCTCACAAGATGACGATCCTTAGACATACATACACAAACACAAAAGAACACACCTATGCATATGTATAATGCGTATACATGCATACGTATGCGTACACACATACAAATACACGTTGTGTATAAAGAGTTTAGCATCCAGTTGCATACCTATTGAGTATAGCCGACCAGATTGAGTTAACTCAAGCCAAAAAAAGCTAAAAACCTACGCTTGTACTACAGCTAGGCAGCTAAACACTTATATACAACACTGGCTGTATGACTAAAACGTGTTAGGAAAACACACATGTTGCCGATCAATTCGAGCCAGTCCAGGACCTGTTTTCATCACCTACGACAATCTATAATTACTTCGCAGGCATATACGGTGCATGCTATCAAACAAGCTATCAGACGGATCTTAGGAGGCCTAAGCTGTAAAAGAAGCCTGCAACTAGGAAATCCCCTCATCGTGCGCTCACCCACGAAATGTGGCGAAGTAGGGAACGGACAGAGGGGTGTTCAAGGAAGAAAGAGGGAGAAAAACTACAGAGTAGGAGGTTTTTCATGTTGAAGTGCCGAAGTTAGCAAGTGTCATCGTCCTTATTGCTGTTGTTGTTGTTGTTGTCATCAGCTGTAGGCCGGGATCTGCTATTTTCGAGCAGCGGTTAAAACTTTTGCGCCGCTGCGACTTCGACTCGATACGATGGATAGACGATAAGACAGCGGAAACGGAGGCGGATCTGCGGGACCTGCCGGCTGCCTAGTAAAATGCCCAATATTAGATACTAGTTCCCATTTGCTCACTGGTAGTTACGCATATGGCCAACAAACGTTCATGTTTCGGCCTGATTGCACGCGATTCACCAGTATCATTGAACACCTCACGGAACCGTTCTCGCTGAGGCTGCCACCCTAGCCTTGTCGTTCTACGACGCCACCGTCATCAATATATTCCGTTCATGTCTCTAAAGCTATGATCCGGGCTAAAGCCATAGATTCCGTTTAAGGCTCCCATGCGTCCAAAGGTGATTCATGACTGGTTAGGGCACATTGGTTAAGGCAATGATAGCATCGACGCTATTGCGTCGCTGCATTTCATTGCCGCATGGTACATACAACTCTTACGGTTTTTCAGATTGAATATGCAATAGTGAGTGAACTATGCTGCCCTATGGCTCCTTACGTGCAAGTTTACATTTGGTGTTGCTATGGTATTAAAATTTCGTAGACATATATGGCGAGCGACCGCTGGCTAATCGCGAGAATACTGAACTTCCCACAGGTCAACCAATTCAAAATCGAACGTGAAAAACCAACGACATTCTATTGAATTCGAGCTGGCCATATCCACGCATTCGTATATCCGTTTTTCTGACCCTCTGATAAAAAAATCGACTCCCCCGCATTAAGGAATGCATGCATACATACATAAAATATACGGATGTATGTAACTTCATCTTTCAGCAGTCCTCCTCCAACGACAGTACTAACAGAACTAATAAGTGGTAGGATCTAATTCTAAAACATACCTAAATATATTGTTCTAACATTAATGTAAATTATTTACGATGATGATGGTTAGATGCAGACTGCGCAGATCGTACTCTCTCGGAAAACACTGGAATCCCTATGCTTCCTTCTACATTTGTAATGCACATAACAACGTTACGCGTTGGCATTTTATCTATTCGTAGTGCTGCTACTGCTAGAGGCAATTTGGCAGTTTTGAAGCCAATTAGCATGAATAGTAACGAAGCAAAAGAAGCCGTAGATTGTTAGCGATATAGTGAGTAAATGATATAAAGAGACTCTGTCCAAATGTAATGATCTCACAGACGCCCCGTGCCTCCTTTGACAACAACAACGGCCACGACGAAGACGGCCTTGTGAGAAGAAAACCTCATTTTTTTGAGCGAATTGCATCGCAGGCGGCAGCAGCAACCACAGTAGCAAGTAGAGAGCACGTATGTACACCAGTTGGTACTATGGATAGTCAGACCCGGATCGGCTATTCGGGTCAACCAGTATCGCGGTCGGTCGACTTAAGCCCGCACATCCTTAGTCTCACAGGTATTGCAATAAGCAATCGACTTCATTGTAAGCCGATGTAGCCATATCGTGAGAAGCAGCAACAAACGAGCCCCCCACTCCTGTCCTTCTCTTCTTTTACATTCAAGTCGTTGGTAGATCTGATCTCAGGCCAGCGGCCTAAATCCAGTACATAACTGGTACTGCTGCTACTACTAGTACTGGGCGTACGAGAGCAAGTTTGCTAGAACTAACGTACTGTGTTCCTCTATAATGTACTCCATAGCTGAGGTACGGAACGAGCCAGCGAACGCAAGTAAGCAAAAGGAAGGCATCGTCGAGTGAGAAGCGTCAAGTAGCGTAGCCTAGACAACCTGCTCCTTAAGATGGGGCCCCGGCTAAATCGGCTGAATGTATGGGTTTTTTTCCTTTGATTCGGATGGTATTTCGGAGCAGGTTGAACTCGGCAGGACAGCGAGGCTCCGAATCCTCTGCCTCGCTCCATTGGCCTGCCCTCTCCAACTAAAGCAACTAACACCACTACGTACTATGGACGATATAGCGGTCAAAGGAAATATCGGAGCAGAAGCAGATGACGCCGATAGTAATAATACGGGGCCGTAAACGAAGATCATTGTAGTCGGCACTATGACCAGAGTAAATGTTATAAACGTGCGCCTGGCGTAGAGGTTCTCTTAGAGTATCCACCTCAACCTTGTAGATTACACATAGAATGCTCTCTTCGATCCTTGCATAACAACAGCGCGATGCCTAGCACGGGTACGCAGGACCATAAGCACTCGTTATAGCTGTGTCATCCTTCAGATTTTTGTAATTATGGTCGAGTTTAAAAAAGTAACAGAACGTGAGGGTAACTATGTGAATTTGACGATGATCTCAAAGAACACCTTCAAGGCTATCCGGTAAAATAGGCGTCGTGAAACATCAGGTTACAATAGGACCGCAGTATCGTTGCTAAGTGCTTGATTTCTAATGACGCCCCTTGTAGATATCATTGGTTAAAGATGTTGAAAATTTTTACCGGAACGACGAAACAAAAAAGAGCCGTGAACATATATTCTTCACAATGAATCTTGCTTCATTTTAGTTTTGCCACTTGCACGTTCAACTTTTTCACACGTTGCCCCTGCAGCGGCTATTGTGCATGTGTGTTGGGTTTTGCAAAATCTAAGGAGCACCAATGTCGATAAGCGTTCGCGTTCTACATTCATATCTGTGCCTGCGATTCATTCTTACCATTGACTTGCCCCCTTGCTTTCGGCTGCTAGAATGAGGGTTCTGCTGCTGCTGCCAAACGTAACAGATACATCTGTAACAACAGGCACGTGTAGCATGCATGTATATAGGTAAGCGTTGGAGCTAACGACGCTCTTTGGTACTACGAATGTAACCGAGGTGGTAGAAAAAAACTTACGATGTTCTGTTCCCTATCTGTCAATACCGCCAGTTTATTTGGAGCTTCCTTGCAAATTGACGGTCTTTGATCAAGTCATGATCACTAGACCTTCACAAATGAACATGCTTTCATTATATTCAATTCAGCCAGTAAGACGCTTAAAGAAAACAGCCAGCCAGTAAGAAAGCAAGTACAAAACAACGAAAGCAAGTTATTTCAAGCCTTCTATTTATCACTTTATATATTTATATATGTATACTATGTGCTTTTTAAAAAGCACATATATAACACACCTGTGTTGTGTGTTTGAAGTATGCACAAGCAGCATCGCTTGTATTCCTGATGCGTCTCCCGCATATTCGCGTCAGGAGCTCTTTAACGGACTACTACTTAGTTGTCAATGAAGCTTCGCTGTAACGCAAGGGATGCCAGCGCTTTTGGAAAAACTCGACGGACACGAATCGCAAGGGATAACGCACTGCCCTTAACAACGATCTGTTGTAAGGCCAAATGACCGCGTGACTTAACGTCCGCGTGCTCGATGAAAGAAGATTTCAGACAGGGCTTCATCATCGTCGCAGCTACTCCTCTTCAAACCGTGTTATTTCACCTTAGTACCATCAGCGGGTGAGCTTGCCGCGTCTTTTATCCAAAGATCTGCTTCGAAAGATTTGATTTAAGTGTCAAGTCAGCGTATGTGAGCGTCTTGACACTCAACGCTTACTGTTTATCGGTGCTGTTTGTAGAACGGTACCAGTCAGTCTGTCTACACTATGTCAGCAGCAGGCGGTGGGGATCAAACTACTTTAACTGAAGTTTAACAAAGTAATGTTACAACAGTGGCGAAACGAAACCCCTTATAGACCGTTTCGCTAGCACACAGTTGTAGACAACTAGTCAATCTTTTTACGTTTCATTATAAAGTCTTCACACTGACGCCTACATTGCGCTCAATGCGCCGGTTGACATCTGCTAAGTACTTGATCTCGGCTATTTATCTAACGCATAATTTTGTTGAAAAGTCGGCTTCTATACATATATACCTATTGGAGGTCTTTTTGTCCAAAAATGAAGGACAGAAAAAGAAGATCTCTCTGTGCGTTGAAAAAACAGGTGAAATAAAAAAAAAAGTGCATAAAGAGGAAGTTAAATTGGTATAGTCTGGTCTGTATTTGAACTTGAATAGGTAATTGGGTCATAGGAGCGGTTTTGTACAGCAGAGTCATTTTAACGGTAACATTTCACCCCATTAGTCACGATTTATATTTGTTAAATGAAATCTCAGGATTGTCCTCAACAAACTGTTACATACATTACCCTATATATAAACTTTTCTAGTAATGGCTAACAGTTGGTAACAGTAGGTTATCTATTTTTTAATTTAATAATTCAGCAAACGTTAGCTACCGTTGCAGACCTATAGAATAACAGAGAATTAGAAATATTTCAGAATATTCCAAAGAAATAAGTTGACTCACTTGTAGCGAATAACAGACATGGTGGGGCCGAGCGGATGTTTGCCTGCCAACAATACACCGCGATGGTTTTATGTCAATGCCACGGTAAAAGTCATCCAGAGCGTTACCGCCTTTATCTAGGAATAAAGCATGCCCTAAAGAGCTTCTTTTTGCCATTGTGGACCATCTTGTGGTACTTCGGCCTTGCGCACCGAGAGTGCTACCCCTAGTGACTCCGACGTGGGCGGAGGTAGCAGTGTCACTTGACACGCCATAGACCCCAAATATGGTGCCTGCAGTCACCGAGCGGCCGAGAGTTTGGGTTCCCGAACGGCGTCCTCCTTGGTCAGTTGATCGGAGCCGATTTTCAATTTCTGTGTACTCCGTTAAGCCCGGAGCTACGGGAGTACAGCCTGGGGGCATACATCCTGTGGCCTGAGGGTATAGTGGTTGAACATGGATATTTTCGTTGTACGGAGGCACCCTTGGAAGGGAGTCAGCGCATCGTGGTCGTGAGAAGTTAAAGTTGTTCAAAGTTGTCATTCTGACACCAGTTGCTTATCAACAACACTTTCACTTTTAACCGACGGAATGTTTGTGTGTGTGTGTGTGTGTATGTGTGTGTGTGTGTGTGCCTATGTTAGAGAAAAATCCTGTTGAAGTGTAATCCTTTGTTGAAGCGTGTCTTTCTCGAGCAGTTTGCACTGTCACTATCCACCAGTCAGTGTCAGCACGGTTAGGATTGTTCAACAATTAGCAGTCTGGCATACATCTATTGGTGACATTGCCCACGGGATACAGGCTAGTAGTTGGCTGTTCAACATCTTTGTTAGGCGTTGGTTCGAGTCTTCCTGTGGTCGCACGTCCACTTTCAACGGGCTCCTGTTGATCACTAGTGATCGGCTACCGATCCAATCCCCCGCTACTAGGCAGCCAAGCAGGCCGACAACAGGCTCCCGGTACCCACCGCCTCTACTACCGCTCTCCACTGGCGCTGTGATCGCATCTTGTCGGGTCGTGTAGGCCGCAAGTTGTAAATGGTAGGCAGCAACACCAACGCCCGACACCCTGCCGCGGCCGGATGGCGGGTTTCTGTTCTTTAGCTCCTACTTCTGCATACACACAGAATGCAGTATATGTATATATACTACGTGCTACATATAGACAGATTTAGTCTCCAATTCAAGCCTACTTTTCTATGACTGACTCCCGTTGTCGATAAAGCATCATTGCACCAAACATTTAGATACGGCCTGTGCCTTTGTCTAAAGGGCCAAGGACGAATGTACATAGTTCAAAAGTTACTGAGATTAAAAGTTTCGTTTTAGGTAAAATGTACATAGATGGAATACTCCTCTTAAATATTGGCACCAAAGATATTTTAAGTGTAGTACTTTGAGACGGCTACAAGGGTAATTAGTATATACATATATATACACGTAAGTAAACGGCATACGTTCTAATTCTGATTAGTACTGGTATCGTGTATCGTATTGTTTACATAACATTTAATTGCGTTTATAAGTAGTACTACGTCGTATACGATTTACAAAAAAAAAAAAAAAAAATTTGTTTGATTTAATTTGGGTAGTCAATAAATATGCGCAGAATGCATTCGGCTCAAGTTTGATTGGTATAATTTTTCATTATACAGAATTTACACCACGAAGTGTCGCTATTTCATTATGAATCCACCCAATTAATTCCTTAATTACTGGTGTTGATTGTGCGAATTGTTTCTGTTCTACTTATTTACTTTGGTCGAATTAAAATTGAATATCCCACAGTGAAAACGGGGTTCCGGTCACCACCATGGGGCAACTGCAGCGTCATCGTTAAACACCCCGCCCCGGTTTTTTCCGTATTGCTATTACTGTCGTTAGCACGATCTTTGGCAGCATAGCCTACCGTTCCTCTGTGAGACTTGAACGGTAGCATTTACATATAACGTAGGACCTCCATTTCTACAACTATTAATGCCCTATTGCTTTTTCATCGCGCAACGTTTATTGCTGTTGGGCTGCAGATTTGTGATGTTAAAAACGAAGCAATAACGGATTGCGTTTCTAATAGCGTAACTAAAGAGCGAACGTGTCTTCTCTTATATGTGTGTCGACATTTGTGTGTAGTAGTACCTATATATGGCTGCCTATTCACAACAACTACAATTTATTAAATTATTATGTTTCGTGATAGTACGTACTATTGTGGCAATATCCCGATAATTTCGAATCTCTATGGTACAAAAAAATTGATAGCTATCTTAATGAAATGGCTCTACTTCGATGAGGTTATAGAACCTCAGCATTTTTAGAAGTTTACATACTTTACACTGATCTCCTTATTACTTGTCATAGTAGTATAAGGTAAGACGAGTTGAAGATTTGCACCTCGGCTGCCTTCGACAATAACTGCACATCACACACAATCTAAAAGCATTTATCCTGTTTAGAAAGCTAAATAATATTTCATACAGGTCTCACCTAAACCTCCATCGCAACGAGCGATTTCAAGCAGCACGAAACAGGATCTAGCAAGAAATTGGAAGTCCTAAGACTGAGCCACAAGCTCAATAGGGAGCTAGAGTTGAAATGTAGAAAATATTTTTTGCTCCGGCCGCCAATACGTTTTTCGGGGTATTACATAATACATGGCTATTTCACCCACACGCCCATCGATGCAAGCGGAGGGAAATTGCGGTGTCCCTAACCAGCAGTTGTGGTAATAGTAGCTGCATGAACACGTTGCTCTCGTGGGTGGTTGAAAATTGATGTCTAGGCACAACGGATGTCGCTCAATGTACCTAGATCCGTGACAACGATAGCAGCAGAAGCCAGCGCCGACTGACCACGGAGATGCCAGTACGGCGTCGTCGATCAGGGTGGGCAGACAGATCGTTCGGCACCGGTCACTTTCATGGCTATTGTCTCTAAAGTAAAGACCTTGAGCTAGAGCAAAGGCGGACCTCCGCCTCGACCTAGCCATCGATGATGTTGTTACAGAGGCACTTACTTCTTCAGGGCGAAATGTGCATCCAAACAGAGGTGTATCATCGGCAGTCGATACCTTTGAGGAAATCAAAAATAGCACCGATCCGGCAATGAACTGCCAGTGCACGCTGTGACTAACGGGGAACGCGAGGAATCCGTGCTGATGGCCCCAAATGGGGGCAGATCATGACCGGGCCCAGTGCTGCCGTTCGGCTGCTGTTTCGTCGGTGAAAAGACATCAGCAACTTCAACGGCTAGACCTGAGTTCATCTTCATTTAGAGTTGGACTGTGAGGCGAAGGACGCCGCACGATCAGGAGCTAAGGTGCCGAAGTGCCAAGCCTCTCATGACGAATCGGGCAAATTGGCTCCGAAGTAATCTGGCTATCTATCCTCAAGAAATTTGGTTGGTCAAATCACTGCCACCGGCGTAGTTTGGTGACTATGGCTTGGTTCCCTTTTCACTTGTCTTTCTTTTCTCTTCCTGATAGGCTGCTGCTGCTGTTAAAATGCGCGGCAGCTTTCGTACGTCTCTAGTGAAAACCTCGATCGAAGGTTGGTGTTCATGACTATACTTGGGCAACATTCTCACGCCATCCTTAGCGGCGTGTGGATACACGAATGCATGCGTAGTCCATGTTCATGTCCGTGTACCTATGACGGTGTGAGAGGACGCCATTGGACGGTTACCGCGTTAGGGACGCGACGCTTTCTGAAGAGCCGTGAGTCGAGCTAGCTTTTGGAGGCGAGACTCCCAAGAATTTCTCTCGTTGATGAGGCGTGATATCGCTGCCTGCTCATCTGATGCTACCGCTGCCAATGATGCTGTTTACCGATGACTCGTCTACAATCGAATAGGATTATGGCCAAACTTAAACTTTTAGTTTCTTGGTTTTAAAACTTACGGTTTCTTGCTTGTACTCGCTTTGTGATAGAAATGCTTGAATAGCTAACTAACGTAAAAGAGGCTCAATCAGATCAACAGGAAAAAGAATGACGCTGAAGGGAAGAAAGGTGAATGATAGGATAGTTGACTCTAGTTAACTTCAAGGAAGTTGCCGCCACCGTTTCCTTCAACAACACCAACACCTTCGGTGACTATGACGTCGATGGTGACGCGCAGACAAAACAGCGCTGAGGGTCTCAACAGAAAGCCGTAGGAAAACAACTCTGACGGTTAGACGAAAAGACCCACATCGAACGCGTTGAACGTCGCGGTCACTGTGTGTGTTGATCGGTGCAGTGGCTTCCTATTATATCATGCAGTAGAGTGGCTCCTTAATGCTTGGAGCGCTGGCAGCCTCGTCGGGTGCTGACATAGGCTCAGTAGCTACTGAAAGCAGAAAAGGAGCTCACTCTATTTGAATCTAGCCAGCCTACTTGGGCATTGTCTATTCAACAGTTTGCCGAACGTTCGCTTAGCCGATAAGATAGCTAAGAGCCACGACCGTTCGACGAGTGTCGACGACTTACGTGAAATCGAAGAACAGTACCGTGGATGGTGGCTCGAATAACTAGAACGAATCAAGCAGTCAGCGCCATCGACAATCCTGATGGCAACGTGAAGCGATTGAAGCTAGCCCTTAAAAAGACAAACGAGGCTATCTAAGTTGTGAAGCAGGAAAAAAATCAATCAAGGTTGAAAGACTTAAGAACTAGATTAGCTCAGCAAGTACACATTATATTCGATGAGGGACAAATGTTTGAACTAACTCAGATATGTCACTTACAGAAAGCTTAGTCAATTTTTACAGATTTAGAACTTCACATATTCATTTAGTAATATTAAGAATTGAAAACTAAAAAAATCAGGATGTAGTTCAAGGGTAGGGCTTGGGACTTCGATTTAAAACTAGGTACTCCAACTTATTAAACTCGGTGGTTTGCCCGTGGAGCTATGCTTCTCTGGTAGCTAACTACTTAGGAGTTATATCAGACAATGTTCTATATGGGCGTCTTTGAGAAAAGGGGTTTCCTAGGATCATTATAAACTAAACAACGCATATTCGATAAATTGCAACTTCGGAAGCAGGAGCAACAATCATGATAATCACAATAGTTACACAATCAGCGTTAACGGCCAGAAATATAATCAAACGCATACGTTTGCATGCATTGAATCGGTCTTCTGAAACTACTAGTGGGGATCAATACTAATGTCGCACAAATTTCTGAATAAAAAGGGAGACAATATCATTCTGGACAACTTCAGGCGCTCTAAAAGGACATCTCTCTCGCATTTATGAAAGCTTTCATATTTCGTCGGTAGATGACGTTACATGCTTTCAACCATTTCGTGATTCTTATTACTTGAACTATATATATATATCTAAGATTTTGAAAAATATTTTCTTTCTGCCAGTTACACGAGAATACTTATTGCTTTTTACAAGTACCACGCGCATGGTGTGTATATATGTGAGATGAACTAAGTAGCGAATCTAAAAGAATTTATGCTAGACATTCCGATGGCTCCGGCAAAATAAAAATTGCAAATCTAGCTATCAATCAGAAATAATTTACCATGCAAATGTAGCTAAGCATTTAACAGGGCTTTAATTCTCAGTCATTCAGATTTGCAGCTTCCAGTCTGACGCATGCAGCTTAACTACTAAGTTCTACGTCAAAATGCATTAGAATTCGGTAACCCTATCTCGAGAACACTCGGAACAGTCATGCAATATTTATATCCCATTGGAACACTTAGTGGTTCATAGGCTTTCTATTATTATGAGGATAGCTCAGGGTTCAACCCTAATTTATCTCCCCCGCTATACTTACCACCTGCCTTTTCTGCTCATTCTAAGTGCAGCCTTAAAATGATGAACTATTGAGCTGGCTTCAAATGACTCCACGGTTCGGTAAGC